GACACGGCTCTCCACACGCTGGCGGAGTGCCCGGCGTGGGTTGAGCAGAGGCGAGACCTCGTGGCGGCCATCGGAGTGGGAGTTCTCTCGCTCGAGAGCCTGATTGCGGCTATCGTGCGGAGCGAGAGTGCGTGGAACTCTGCCGTCTCCTTCTGCGAGCAAGCTATGCTCGCGAAGGAGACGGCAGAGCGGGACCGGGAGAGGTTTAGAACTCTCCCGGCCCGCCAGGCCCCGGAACGGGCCAGGTACCGCAGGCGACTCAGGCGCCGGAGGTCGCAGAATGACCTCCGCCCTCACTAAGCGCAGGCCTGGGGGTGACAGGTGAGGCCATCTGTCATCCTAGCAGAAGCAGGCCGGGGTGGCGGCAAGCGCGTTGCGAAGCGCGCTCGCTTCCGGGGAGCAGAGGGAACATGGGGTTCCCACACGGGGGGGGTCGTTTACTCGTCTGTAGATGGCCCGAGGTATGTCGGGGCACCAGGGACTTCCTTTCTAGGGTCCTATACCTGGTTCTCCGGCTATTAGTACCCGAGTACTTTTCTTAGATATATCTGGCGCCTTCGACAACGCATGGTGGCCCATGCTGTTGCTGAAATTAAAATCACGGGGGTGCTTTAAAAATATTCATTCCCTTATCTCTTCGTACTTTTCACAAGGTACAACTAAACTAAGACTTGGTCATCATTCTGTGTCGAAGGCGCTTACAATGGGATGTCCTCAGGGATCGGTGCTAGGTTCATACTTGTGGAATATCGGCTTCGACGATTTTCTTGCGATACCAATACCATCCGGATGTACTCTGAACGCGTATGCTGATGACGGCTTATTACTGGTGGAATCTGATACTAGGGCGGGGCTTGAGAGATTAGCCAATAGATGTTTGAACTTGATATCTCAATGGGGTGAACGTAATCGCTTAACTTTTGCACCCAACAAAACCTTCCAGCTACTTTTAAAAGGTAACCTCAAATCACCACCGAGCATTAGATTTGACAATGTTACTGTAAAAAATAAAACTACAGTGTGTTATCTAGGATTAGTTTTAGAAAGAAACTTTTCATTTATCGAACATATTAAAATAGTTAATGAAAAGTCTAAAAAGAGTTTCTGTGCATTGACAAGGATATCAACTGCGACATGGGGTCTATCATTTAATACATTAAAGATCATATACGGAGCTACTTATTTAGGTTCTATGTGCTATGGTGCACCTGTATGGGCCGATAGGGCGACCGTAGGCGCTGTCCGTCGCAAACTGTTACAAGGCCAACGACTTGCACTGATATTCTTGTGTAAGGCATATAGGACGGTTAGCACTGAGGCTTTGCCGGTGTTGGCGGGTGTGCTTCCGGTCGATCTCGAGGTGCAGAGACGTGCAGCCATGTACTATTCAAGACAACAAAACATAGAATGCGACTTTTTGGGCGCGCGGGATCGCGGTAAAATTACAAGATTGCTTCAACAGCAGCCCGATGTCTATAATGACCTCATAGACGAATGGCAACAACGCTGGGATGAATCATCCAAGGGGCGCCATCTTTACCAATTCTTTCCGTCTGTTCGCGAACGGTTGTCGAGGATATGGCTTGAGGTGGATCACTGTGTCGCTCAATTTCTTACGGGTCATGGTAACTTTAAGAGCAAGCTTCATTCATTTAAATTAGTCGAGTCACCGTTGTGTCAATGCTCAACACCTAACTCTCACTATGAACAGTCTGCTCATCATATCCTCTGGGAATGTAGTCTTTGGTATAATGAACGTAATATAATGCTGAATAGCTTGCAGGTGACATCTGGGGCGGTATACTATGGGGATCTTGTGTCAACTAGGGTGAATTTCCGTGCGTTTAGGCGATTCTGCCATACATATTATAGAAATCAAACATAGCTCACGTAGGACCCGTAATATTTGTGGCCGTGGTGCTTCCCCGTTTAAAAGGGTGTATGCCCATTTTACTTCATTTTGTCTCCCGCTTTGCTAAGGAGGGAAGTGGATTTACTGTATTTCCAACTCCTCCAATTTTCTTCTGATTAATTTCGTTGCGGGTTCCAAGACAATTTAATTTCTTCCTGGGACTTCCCGAGTGTCATAACTCGGTGTGTTCGTGGGTCACTGCTGTGGATCCTGGTGTACAGGAGTTACAGTGGTGGGCGTGTGGGTAGGATTAGTCCCAATATTAGTACCCGAGACGGCGTGCGGTTTTAGTCGGTTCGGGTCCGACATGCCACCGATAGGTGGTATCCGAGGGGATTTCCGCACGGGAAAAAAAAAAAAAAGATGTAAAAAGTGTAAATTTCAGTAAGTGATATAAAAACATGGGTAAAGCCTGTGTTAGCGAAGTTTGGACTTATTTTACAATTTTTGAAACTTAAAGTGTCATTAATATTATAAGTATATAAAAAACTATAAATTATAACAGTGCTATTATCTTTTGAGATCCATCCAGTCCATATGTAGGTATTATAATTTCCTTTTTGTTAATCAAATACATTCGCCAAACATTAATAGCAAAAAAATGCGAATAATGTTACATCACTATAATGTGTCTGATCTTGTCTATTACTACAGCCTATATAATAGACCGGTACAGAAAGCAACTAAAGTATAACGCAATATACCAATAGTGAAGCTTACATTTCGCCTGAAATAAAAATATATCAAACAACATTACTAAATGCCAAAGTACATAATACACATTAAACTGTTATATATGTGCGCATTTATATACTCCGGTTAACAAATCAAATCAGGCCGACGGGGTTAGTAAACAGACTTACCCCAAACACATAAGAATAAACCTTTGAGAACGAGCCTTGTTGCTGACAATGAAGAACTAGTTTGCCCTGAAACGTCGCGTTTCCGCGTTCTACTTTCAGGAACATTAAAGCTTAGGCCCGGTCGTGATTAAGTAAGGCGTGGCAGCCATCACGCATCTATGCGGTCACTAACTGCCAATATAGACTCTTTCGCGGAATCGATGAACTGATAGCGTAAAATAGCATTAGATCAGGTCCATCCCTTAAGTAATCAAGTGATACATGCTATCGGAAACTATTCGGCCCGGTAATATTACCTACATAGAATCAAAAAACACAACGTGCCTTAGAATTTGATGACTGGTGAATGAGAGCGTCAGTGACCAAGTTAATTTCGATTAGCAATACTTTTTACTGTGGAGATTAAATTTAAACGTCATCAAACAAATATATAATAATAATATAATTATAACATACCGTCATTATAGCTATACATATCTAAACGGAAATTGAGTCACAGTCTGTTGTAAAGAACGCTGAGTAATATTGAAGTCAATAATTTAAGTCAAATACGACCTCAAAAACTAGAAACACGCTTTCCCACCTAAAAGAACGTACATTTTAGTTTTAATGATTTATAACAGCATGTTGTTTCTCAAGAATTGGGACTGTACAACTGTAGCAATGTCGTGTCATAACTGATTATGGGAATTTAATTTCGACGCACATATGACAACTGATTAACACACTACGTTTTTTGAGATAATAACTGATAAATTAAAATTTCGCAGTCAGTGAATTTGCAATAAAACCAAATGTTTTCATACATTTAAGAAATTGTGCAAAATTCTGACAATCATCTTTGTTGTCTGATTCTAATCTTTTTTCCACTACACTAGTACTTGTGAAAGATATGAATCACAAATCAAGATGAATCAGATTTATTTTAAAGTAAATATAACAACACGTAATAATCAGCAAAAAAGTTGTCTACGGCACCAACGCTGCCACGGCCTTTAAATATTCGTACAATAGACCCTTCTTCCGCATTCAGGGCGCTTTTGGCAAAACTAAACGAAATCGTTCATCAACGCAGACAGCTGAAACAATAGTCACTTTTGCTCCACTGTCTGTAACTACATATATTACGGTTGAAGTTCCGACACGAAAAGCCGCCCGTAGTTTGAATTAAGCTGTAGCGAACGCACCACGCCAATTGGAATTGTAAACAATTGGCGTGGTGCGTTCACTACAGCTTGACAATGGCAAAGCTTAACAACCTTCATTTTTTATTACCAAGTTCACCAGTACCTTATGATCCAAAAGTAGTAATAAAAAACACCGTTTTAATTATGCCTTATCACTACTGTTCCATTTAATTATTAAGTCTAATCACACCTGTAAATTACCCACCATATTTATCTTTCTTGAAGTTTTTATCTATAAGAAAAGCAGCCATTTTCCTTTTTTTGTTATACATTTACTACTTCCAGCTAATATACTGTGGCGAGGTGAGAGCAAGTAACGTGAAGTTTGTGAGCAGGAATATTAAGTAAAGACTTGGGCCCTAACCGCTGAAATACTCTTTTGCTAAAAAAACTCTACCTTTTAAATCGTTAAGGCTAGAGTGGCATTTTGAAGAAAGTTTAACAGTAAGTAGTCGAAGTAGGCGCACTTCATTTTTTTATTCACGATCATATCGATTACCTACTTATTGGCCGAATTTTATTTTATTTATTTTGAATCACCAACAAATGATACACATTTCTACAATAAGAAAAAATATACAAAAACATGCTTTGTGCTCATTCAATTATAGGCAATCACAACTAATACAAGTCAAACTTGTAACTTCCCATTCTAAAATAAAAAAATGTATGGCATAATAATAGAAAAATATAAAAGAAAATCAAAACTATTACTTAGATTAAAAAAAAAACAATTTTTTTAAAATTAAAAACCACATAACACGGAAAATTCAAACTTAGGTGAACTTTTGCTTACTGACCTTACTAAACTGAACGACGCGGTGAAGTATTAATACTGATTTCACCACTGTGGTGACCATGTAAATTCCTTTAAAGTACAACAAAAAGTACGAATCCCTAACAAAGTTTAGTAATAAAAATCGCGCTCGTCTGTAATAACTAAGAAGTTCGATGTTTTTTGTTATATAACAACCAACCTCTTCTGCCTACAGTCTAACTCCTCTAATGTAATAGCTTATTTATTTTACTTTAACTTACCAGAGGCCGAAATAGCAATACGTCCTAGAGGCAGTCCGCCATCATTAACTGACGATTACCTGTTAACAAAAGTAAAACAATTGTCATTTAAGAATTGACTGCCTCCGTAGCGCAGTGGTAGCGTATGCGACTGCTGTTCTGAGGTCTCGGGTTCGAGTTCCGGGTCGGACCAAATATTTGTATTCTCTGCAAATATTTGTTTCGGAGTTTGGGTGTTTTCTACGTTTCTTTTTTTTGTATGTATGTTTGTTAGGCGATTTCTCCGTCAATTGTGGACCGATTTTCAAAATTCTTTTTGTAATCGAAAGGGTATGCTCCCGAATTGGTCCCATTACCACCAATTCAGGATCTGATGATGGGATCCTAGAGAAATCGAGGGAAACCCTCACAATTATTGGGAATTTGACAGCCCCGACAACGTGTTTTAGCTACGAGTATTTCTTTAGCCAAACAAACCATGGCAACCGTCAGAGACTGCGCGATGTGATGCGCAGAGAACTTGCAGTATTTATGTCACCACAGTAATTTTCGTTGTATTAAAAAGAAAAGGTTGAAATTTTGTATTCTATCTTGTTAAAATAATTCGGATAGACGTTTTCGTTTGTAAGTAATTTTATACTTAATTCGGCCGGGAGATCGGCTGCGACATCAGCAGTGGTGATCAGTGCTTCAACAGTGATTGAGCGTTAAAGTGTGTGTGCGGAAAAGTTACGTTAAAATAAAATTGATAACAGTGGGAAGAAAAATTCATATTTCAAACATTCCCTGACCTCGCCAACGCTCGGTTGGCGCCATCTCTGTTTGCGTTATCGGTTTGTGTTCGTCAATCGATTGTTGCTTTGTTGTGGTCCTGCATAATATTGCACTGCTGGTGCCACTTCGTCGAGTGTCTGGAAGAATTCTTGTACCGGCGGCTTTTCACAGAGGGCGACACTTGTAATTTGTATACTAGTAATCATGCTTACTATTCAATTCAATTTTTTTTTTTTCGTTTTTACTCCTATCTACCCTTTTGTAGATGGTGAGAATCATAATTGTTACTGTAAATTATTATTAATTAATGCCACCCTAATTTTGTAGAAACTTGTTGTTGATATTCATTTATGTTACTCATTTCATTTAACCATAAGAATATATATATAATTTATTACTGCAAATTTTCATAATATTATTGGTTTAGTTTCATAAAATGGTTTCATAATATTACACATATTATTGGTTTAGAAACTTTACTTTCTATGCTATAACATGATTACCTCTGTACTTTGCCTTGTATAAATACGTTTATAAATTGACTACTTTAAAGCTACTTTTTTTGATTTTTAAGAATATTTTGATATTGTTAACCGACTTAAAAAGAAAAGGAGGAGGTTCTCAATTTGACTGGGTTTTTGTTTTTGATGTCTTTTTTTTATATTTATATTATATACGTGTGTGTTTTGTCGGCATCATTAACATGAGCTCATTATTATCGTCACAATCGACATGCCCCCACTGCCAGGGGTCTGCGCGCATCTTTAGTTCACGCGGCCTCAAAATACATATTGCACGAATACATGGACACCAACCACGCACAAGCCCTACGGACGTGCAACAGGACACGTTTTCTATTGATGTCGGCCAACGGCCGCGCCCGGAGGTGGTGCCCCAACATCGGTGCCCCCTGGAAAGGCTTGCCACTTGCAAAAGTAGCATTCCGGTGATGCGGCACATTCCTAAGGCTGCACGTAACCTAGCCGCGGCCAAATTAAGCAGCATAATAGATGGATGCGTGGACGGTAATGGTGTAGAGGACTGGTTCGCGCTTCTTTCTTTTGCCTTTAGCGCATTGAGGGTGCCGTCTAAGTCTCTGCCGGGTAATATGACGTCTAAGGTAAAGGCGAATATCAACTCCTCGGGCTTTTACCAGTTTGAGGATGAGTGTGACGGCGCGCCAACGAATCGCAGGTCGTGTTCAATACAAAAAACTATTGAAAATAAGGTATTTGAGGGAGACTTAAGGGGAGCCGTCCGCCTGTTGATGTCGAACGACAAATTTGCTCAGGGGGGTTCTGAGACCCTGGCTGCCTTGAAGCTTAAGCACGCCGGCCCGTCGCGCCCACTCAACCCCCCGCCAGCGCCGGATGCGTCATGCGCATTCGTTACCGCTACACCAGAGGATGTAGCTCAGGCGCTAAACTCTTTTTATAGTGGTTCTGCGGCGGGTTTGGACGGCATTCGTCCGGGGCACCTAAAGGAACTCACTTCTAGGGCGGCGGGCGAAAACGGGCAACGTTTAATGGGTAGTCTGGCCAAGCTGTGTAACTTCTTACTTAGCGGTCAGTTAAACCCTGAAGTGTGTCCTTTTATGTATGGGGCTTCGCTTTGTGCCTTAAATAAGAAGGATGGAGGACTCAGGCCGATAGCTGTCGGCAGCGTTTTCCGCCGTTTGACTGCTAAGCTGGCCTGTTGTTCAGTCAGGGAGGAAATGGCTGAGTATCTACAACCGCACCAGTTAGGCTTTGGCACACGTCGGGGTTGCGAGGCGGCTATCCATGCCACACGGACATATGTGATGGACCCTAAAAACTCTCGTTGCGTCGTCTTGAAGCTTGATATCCGCAACGCTTTTAATACCTTGGAAAGGGATGTTCTGTTAAGCGCAGTTAAGGATAAAATTCCTTCCCTCTATCCTTTCCTTCACCAAGTCTATAAGTCTCCTTCGAACCTCTTTTACAATAAGGATCTTATTCTTTCGCAAGTGGGAGCTCAGCAGGGAGATCCACTTGGGCCACTCGTCTTTAGCCTTGCCATCCACAAAATCATTTCCAAGCTGGAGTCACCCCTAAACCTGTGGTACCTAGATGACGGTACTATTGGCGGACAGCCTGAGGTGGTGGCGAAAGACATTATGGTTTTGATCCCACGCCTCAAGGAGCTAGGTTTGGAGGTGAATCCAGCAAAGTGCGAGTTTTTCCCCTGCAGTACTGAAGCTCGCACACACTTTACACACTTTGAAATGTTCTTTCCTGGCCTCAGCGAGATCACACCAGGTACCTTCAGCCTATTGGGCTCTCCCATTTTCCTTGAGGTAGTCCCTGAGGCCATTGCTGCCCGTCAAAATCTTCTCCTTACCACTCGGGAACGTTTAAAGCATCTTTCTCCTCATGTTGCGGTTCTGCTGCTTCGTATGTGTTTCGCGGTTCCTAAAATCACGTACTTATTGCGGACTACTCCAACCTGGCTTTGTCCGGAGGCTGTCTCTTTGTTCGACGGTGCTTTAAGAGATACTGCTGAGTCGATCCTTAACGTCTCCCTTGATGAGCACCAGTGGATCCAGGCAGCTCTGCCAATAAGATATGGGGGTCTCGGATTACGGCGTGTGCTGGATGTTGGCTTGCCAGCCTTCCTAGCGTCGGCACATGGGGTTGCGGACCTTGTCGCTGTCACACTTTCTCCAAATGGTGATAGGGCGAGCATACCTTATGTGTCCGAGGCGTTATCGGCATGGTCAGCCGTCAACGCAGGTGAGCCATTTCCAGTGACCCTACACGTCCAGCGAGCATGGGATGACATTGGAGCTAAGGGACTCCTCAAACAAATGTTGGATACCGCTAGGGGTACCGATCTGGCAAGACTGAGGGCCGTATCGCAGCCAGAGTCAGGGGCATGGTTACATGCACTCCCATCGCCTCACTTGGGTACCTTGCTAGACGGCGACTCTTTGCGTGTGGCAGTGGCTCTCCGCCTGGGCTGCAGGGTGTGCGAACCACATAGATGCACCTGCGGTGCCATGGTGGAGGCCGATGGTCTTCACGCACTGAGTTGTCGTCGCTGCGCAGGTAGATTTTCGCGACACCATGCCCTAAATGACATAGTCCGAAGGGCTCTTATATCCGCCAATGTACCCTGCGTGCTGGAGCCATCGGGTCTTAGCAGATCTGACGGGAAGCGGCCGGATGGCTTGACTTTGGTGCCGTGGAAAAACGGCAAGTGCTTGGTATGGGACGCTACATGCGTTAGCACAGTCGCGGCCTCACATCTGAGTCGCACCGTCCAAGCCCCGGCGGCGGCGGCGGAGGATGCCGCTAGTAGAAAGCAATCAAAATACGCCGCAATGGAGACGCACTATTATTTTGTGCCTATTGCGGTGGAGACTTTGGGCAGTTGGGGGTCGGCAGCTAAAAAGTTAATTGCGGAGATTGGTCGCCGAGTTAGGGAAAAAAGTGGTGACTCCCGCTCCGGCTCGTTTCTGGTGCAAAGAATGTCCGTTGCAATTCAGCGAGGCAATGCTGCCAGTATCATGGGCACCTTTGCACCGGGAGCGACGCGGGGCGGGTTACATGATCTGACTTGAATAAAAAAAAAAAATATGTAACTTAAATGTATGTAGTATTTTCTTAATTTATTAAAATAGTTCTGGAAAAAACTCTTAAATTTTGTGTGGGTCAACTAGGTTAATTTCTAACATACCAGTATTAACCCTTCTAGTTGGAACTCCTTCTATAAAATATTGAGCATATTTGTTGAGTAGTCTCACTAAAGCTTCCCTATCTTCACCTTCGAGATCAGTGTCTTAATTTTTCATTGTGCTAATATAAAGCTGACATAGACCAGTATTACTTATTGTGCATCGAGCTTGGCACCGACTTCAAACAGACTAGAAGGGACTATTGGTATTATAATGCTACCTGTTACATTGAGGGTACTTATTATAGTTTTTAGATTTGTAATTATTTTTTAATTTTTAGTGCTCTTTGTCGGTGTTGTTTGAAGTCGGTTCAACTTTATTTTTTTTTAAGGGTTTATATACGTATAAGTGTGTTTAGGTACCCATAATCGTTTACCAGCTTTAAGGGCCTGAAGGGCCTTATTCTTATTTGCCAACCTAATTGTATAAAAAATGATAAATGACGTCGTAAAATAATTCGAAACATATGTATTTTCTCCCATGATAACTTTTTGTCAAGGTTTTAATTTTTAAGGGCCTTTTAAGTTACACCACTTGAAATCAAATATAGAAATATTAAGTTTAACACGATAGGTTGATATGTTTCGATGGCTATAAA